ACCACTCTGTGATAATCAGGGATTCAGAGAGGGAAGGAAGTAGGTTGAGCTGGAAGGAGAGTGGATCATTGGTTTCTGGCAACGTCTGTGGGCTCAGGATTTGTGAATTTAATTGTCTTGGGGGACTTATTGGGGTTTTTATGTAACTGGGCCTTTTGCCGTTCCTCCGTGCGGTACCATCCAGCCTTCCATTCCACCCCATAATGCACTGTGCTTGAAGGCCAGACACCACAGCAGAGAGACATCCAAGTCCTGTGATTCTACAGCCCCTTAAACGAATCAGTTCAGGTCTCTCGAGTGTCCTGCTTGCATCACGTGTGCCTCCGAGGACCGGCAGAAATCGCGCCCTTTGGCACAGGTCACAGTGAGACGGCGCCAGATTCCCCGTGGCTTTGATCTCCCGTGAGAAGCTCTGCTGTTTATCGTGTCAGAGCATGGCTTTGGTTTTGCTGGGAATAAGTCCAGGATTTGTCTGAGAGAATGTGAACGGGGCCTGGTAACATGGGCAGTCTCTTTCTGTGCTGCAGGGATGGGAAGGAAGTGACGCCGGTGTCTGACATTCCTGTAGAAACCCACCGAGCGATTGCTACTTGCCACTCTCTTGTGCAGTTGGATGATGGGACGCTGGTGGGCGATCCGTTGGAGAAGGCAATGCTGATGGCCGTGGACTGGACCCTGACCAAAGGTAAAGCCTGTTTCCAGCTCCTCCTGAGCCCTGTTTGCCTAGGCTGTGGGTTGTGAGTGGGATTTTTGGGAAGCGTGAGGATGATAACACTGGTTTTTGTCAGTTCTGAGCCTGACCTTCTCTAGGAGATTTCCTATGCCTCATGCCAGCTTTCTGCAGGGAGTGAATTCCATCTGGTACGATCCCAGGAGCTGGTGTGGGGCAGTGGAAATCCTTGCACTGCGTGTCTGAGGGACGGCAGTTCTGCCATCCGTTCTGCGACTGGCACGCTCAGGTCCGTGTCTCTCCGTTCTCGTTGTGCCGACTCGATAAACTCGGGGCGTGAGCAGCGCAGATCGCGGTGGGGATTTTAGCGTGGTCTCCAGGGAGGCTTCCTGCTCTGCTTCCTTGGCTTTCCCACGCACAGACGACTAAAGGAGAAAGCTTCCAGAAATACCGTATAGGTGTCCCACTGAAACCCAAGCTATTGTGCTTTTTCCTTCTGGATTTTCACCTGTGGTGATGATAAGTGCTGTAAACGCACCTTCAGCCCGCTGTGTCGCTGTTGCACTAACGCACATAGGTGTTCTGCTCACTTCCATCCCTGAATTCCTGGCACTAGAATTTCCAGCTCTGTATCTAAGGGAGAGAAAAATCAGATGATCCCAGTGAGCGGTGGGTTCCTTCGGGACCCGAAAGGGAGGGATGTTGCTTTTGATACCGAGAAACCTTTCAGGATTTCCTGATCTCTTTGTTTCCAGATGAGAAAGTTTTCCCCAGAAGTATTAAAACTCAGGGACTGAAAATTCACCAGCGCTTTCATTTTGCCAGTGCCCTGAAAAGAATGTCTGTCTTGGCGTCCTACGAGAAGATCGGCTCCGCTGATCTCTGTTACATTGCAGCTGTGAAAGGGGCCCCGGAGACGCTGCGCAGCATGGTGAGCGCATCTCTAGGAGAGGAAGGGCCTTCTCTGCCACCTCTGCTCGTCCCCGACGTAGGGATGTCGTTGCTGCAGAACAGCACTGCGAAGCCGTGCCTGAAAACAAACCCTCTGGGGAGTTTAATCCCAGTGGGAGCTGAATATCTCCGCTGTCTGCGTTCGTGGCCCCGTTGCCCTTGCTGACGGCAAAGGGCTAAACCTGGGGGGTCTCCTCTTGAGCCCTTGATGGGAGGGACCCTCCCAAAGCTACCTTTTTCCCCCCTGTCTGCGTATTTACCATGGAATGTGCTGCTGCGTCGTGTTTGGGAGTGTGTTAACCCGACCCTTTTCCCCACCCTTTCTTTAGCTGTCTCAGTGCCCCAGCAACTATCACGCTGTCCACACGGAAATTTCACATGAGGGGGCGCGAGTGCTGGCCCTTGGCTACAAAGAACTGGGGCACCTCACGCATAAGCAGGTATATCTCTCTGTTTACGCCTCGAAGTGGAGAACCTGTGCCAGGAAACGGAGGAGGTGTGAGCAGTGAAAGAGGGCTGGGATGCTTTTTGGGATGTGGGTTCCCAAAACTGCTGTTGCTGTCGTGTTATTACGATCTGGAGCTTCTGGGAAAATCGCAGCCTCCTGCATTGTGCTCCCAGCTTCGAGTTGCTGTGCATTATGGATCAGTAGTTGTTTCCCTGTTTGTGAAGCAGGGTCAGCTCTTCCCTTGTAGTGACTGAAGGAGGTTTAGCACTGAATTTTTTAGCTGCAAACCTGGTTTTATTGGGGATGGGCATGTGTAATTGTTTTCAGGGCTGTCTCTGCAGAGCTTGGTGCCAAAGAAGCCGTTCTGTAAGCAGCTGAGCACTCTCCAGGGTTGCTCTGTGTGCTGGTTTTAGTCAGGACAGAGTTAAACACACACTCTGTGCATCTCAGAGCATCTTTGATTGCACGGAAGCACCCGCTGGACAACAGGATTGCTGCCACAGGGCAGCCGTTAATGTTCTATTTGTCCATTTGCAGGTGAGAGAGATGAAACGTGAAGCTTTGGAGTGTGATCTTCGATTTGTTGGATTCATTGTGGTGTCCTGTCCCCTCAAAGCTGACTCCAAGTCTGTCATCAGGGAGATCCAGAATGCGTCGCACCACGTAAGTGTCGGCAGCATCCTAGCCCGCGGTGCTTGGGATGTGGAATTCTGGTAGCAGGAGCCTTTGTGGAGCGAGGGTAAAGGCTTTCCCCGTGGTGAAAGCAGGGAGGTCTTGTAGGTGTGGTGATGTTTTTGCGGTGGGATTTGCCATGGCCCTGGGATAAAGCCTTTCTGGGGGCGTTCCGCAGAGCTGCGGCTCGGGAGGAATGTACCCAGCTCGGCAGAAGTCGCCAGCGTGAAGAAGGCTCGCGGTGCCGTGCTCTTTACTCACCCAGAACTGATTCTGGACCCCTCTCGCTTTCCCCTCAGGTAGTGATGATAACAGGAGACAATCCCCTCACTGCCTGCCACGTGGCCCGGGAGCTGCACTTCCTGCAGAGAGAGCACACCCTCATCCTGCAGCCTCCTGTGAGCAAAGGTAACCAACCCCACGCAGGAACCAGCCCTGCCTTTTGGAGGGCAGCGGCCAGAGCCCTCCCAGGGTGTTGTGTCACTTGGCCACATGCTGGTAGCGCTGCTGCTTGATCATGGAATCGTTAAGGTTGGAAAAGACCCTTTAAGATCATCAAGTCCAACCGTTGACCCCACGCTGCCAAGGCCAACACTAAACCGTGTCCTGAAGTGCCTCATCCACACACGTCTTAAATCCCTCCCAGGATGGGGACTCCACCACCTCCCTGGGCAGCCTATTCCACTGCCTGACAACCCTTTCCCTGAAGAAATTCTTCCTAATAGCCCATCTAAGCTCCCCCTGGCACAACTTGAGGCTGTTTCCTTTTGTCACTTGGGAGGAGAGATCAGACTGCCCCCCACTCTGCACCCTCCTTTCAGGGAGCTGTAGGGAGTGATGAGGTCTCCCCTGAGCCTCTGCTTCTCCAGGCTGAACACCCCCAGCTCCCTCAGCTGCTCCTCACAGGAACTGTGCTCCAGACCCTTCCCCAGCTCCGTTGCCCTTCCCTGGACACACTCCAGCCCCTCAAGTGTCTTTCCTGCAGTGAAGGACCCAAACTGACCCCAGCATTTGAGGTGTTAATAAAGCAAATGACTCAGGTGCTTTCCAGAATCCCAAACAGCCCTTTTGTCCTTCCCTGGCTTGGAACTACACACATTCCTCTGCCAGCTCCTAAGCCGACCTCTCTCAGCACCGAAATAACAGCAGCGTGGAGGCCTGTGTGCTGTGCAGACCATCCGGGGAAGCTGAGGTGGACATGCCGCTGCCCCGAGAAGTGCAGGGCCTTGTGTCCCTAGCGCCGAGGGGCTACAAACACCGGGATCGGTCTGTTGGGTGGCTGGGAGCGTTCCTCCCAGGTGTGCTCACGTCAACCTCGTGCTTCTCCTTGCAGACTCCAGCTGGCAGTGGCAGTCTGTTGACGGTGCCGTCGTGCTCCCAACGTTGCCAAGCTCCTTGCGAGAGCTGACGCAGCGATATGACCTGTGTGTCACTGGGGAAGGCCTCTCTCACCTGCAGACTGTGAACAGGCAGCAGCTGCTGAAGCTCATCCCGCACATCCAGGTGTTTGCCAGAGTGGTGCCAAAGCAGAAGGTGAGGTTTAAGCTGCTGGTAAAACCCAGATTTAGCAGCTCATGGGGCCTGGGAGCCACGTAGATGCTAATGTGTGTGGATCATGGAGTGGTTTGGTTGGAAGGGACCTTAAAGCCCACCCAGTCTCACCCCATCCATGGGCAGGGACACCTTCCATAGCCCAGGATGCTCCAAGCCTCATCCAGCCTGGCCTTGGACACTCCCAGGGATGGGGCATCCACAGCTTCTCTGGGCAACCTGTCCCAGTGCTCCCCACCCTCTGCGGGAAGAATTCCTGCCTGATGTCCCATCTCCATCTCCCTCTTTCCATTCAAACCCATCACCCCTTGTCCTGTCACTCCCTGCCCTTGGGAAAAGCCCCCCCAGCTTTCCTGTAGCCCTCCCAGGCACTGGAAGGGGCTCTGAGGTCTCCCCAGAGCTTCCCTTCTCCAGGCTGACCCCCCCAACTCTCCCAGCCTGTCCCCATGGCAGAGGGGCTCCAGCCCTCGGAGCATCTCCGTGGCCTCCTCTGGACTCGCTCCCCCAGCTTCGTGTCCTCCTGCTGTTGGGGCCCCCGGAGCTGGACGCTAATGCTGAAGCTGCTCTCAACAAAGCAGCGTAACCTCTCCTGACAAGCAATAGCAGAGCTCGGGATGTGCCACGTTGTTATCCCAGAGAGCCCTGAGCCTGTTGCAGCTCTGTTCTCCTAAAGCAGAGCCCGAAGGCGGAGCTTTAGGAGTCTGGATGTGAGGCCAGCGAGTTCCTACAGAAGCGCTGCCCTTGACAGAGACGTGTGACCCGGCACAGACGGCAGCGTGTTGGAGCACGCCGGCTGCTGGTTCTCACTCCCTGTTTCTCTTGGCAGGAGTTTGTCATCACCACTCTGAAGAGCCTGGGCTACGTCACGCTGATGTGTGGGGATGGAACCAACGACGTCGGAGCTCTGAAACACGCGGATGTGGGTGAGTCTGTGTGCGGGATTCCCACCCTGTGTGGCTAAGCACAACCCCAGTCTTCGTTTCTCTGGTGTTTTGAGGGCTGGGAGCGCTCTGGCCAACCTCGTTTGGTGGCCGAGACTAACGTAAAGAAGGATCTCTGCTGGTGGAATGCCCACTGTGTGCACACCAGTAGGAATTACCTGGTGGATCAGAGTCCCTTTTCCCTGCAGCTAACGTTTCTATGCTCCCACAGGAGTGGCACTGTTGGCAAACGCTCCCGAGAGGCTTCCCGAACGGAAGAAGAGATCTCGAGACGGACCCGGCGATGGGAGGCCTGCTTTGCCGGCCATGGGAAGTGGGACTGTGAAGCCCACCTCCCGGGGTGCCAAGCACCGAGTCCTGTCCCAGCGAGAGGAGCAGCTGGCCATCCAGAGGGTGGGTACCTGTGTGTTTAAAAGCTTCTTAACTCAGCCTGGCTCTTTGTTCCTCCTCTGGTTTGCTGGGAATTCGTGGGAATGGGAATGGCAGGACGTGATGGGAACTCGTGGGGGCTGGGAATTG